ATATATATAAAATCTTTGCTATTACTTACTATGTATCAGAGAGCTGGATGATGACTAAGGATGACAGAAGAAGAATTGATTCCTTTGAGTTGTGGTGCTGGAGAAAAGTCTTGAACATACTATGGACCACAAAAAATAAAAAATATAAAACACAAACACAAACAAATAGGTCTGTCTTGGAGAGGGTGAAACCAGTTTTCTCCATGGAAGCTGAGATTTTGAAACTCTGTCTTTGTACTTTGGGAATGTTTTCAGAAGGGACCAATTCTTGGAGAAGGACATCATGCTTGGATGTGTGGAGGAGCAGCAGAGGAAAAGATGACCCTTGAGGAAATGGATTGATACAGTAATAGGACAATGGATGTAGGTGAGTCAGGGTCAGTGAGATGTGCTCAGGACAGGGCAGGCGTCAGAGCTCTTATACATAGGGTCCCTATGAGGCATAGGTGACTCAATGGCACATAACAACAACAACAACAAAACCAACAAATTTTTATATATATTTTTTCCAAGTATGACGTCCCCCTTCAATGAGTAGACTCTTCTAGCAACATGCCCAAACTACACAAAATGTAGCTTCATCATCTTGGCCTCCAAGGAGCCCTTTAACTGCACTTTCTACAAGACATCCCTATTTGTTCTTTGAGAAGTCCTTAAGATATTCAGTACTCTTTCCAACACTACGGCTCAAAGACATCAATTCTTCTATCATCCTTATTCATTGACCAGATCTCAAATGTATAGAAAGTGATTGAAAAGACCATGGCCTGAAACAGGCACAATTTAGTCTTCAGAGTGATTTCATTTCTCCTCAATAATTTGGAAAGGTCCCTGACTGCAGACTTTGTCTTCGTAATATGTCTCTATTAATTGAAACATGTCAATTGGTATCCCATCAATTCCTGGGGCCTTAATTTTTTGCCAATACCTTCCGTGTAATTTTATTTTTTACCCCCTTTGTTACCATTGGCTCTGGATCATATGGTCCTTCTTAGCGTGAGCTTAAAAGTTGACTTTTCTAGTCATAATGTTACCCTCTACTGGTCTCTAACTCTCTTAGCTGCAGACACATCATCTTCCAAATCCTCAATGGCTGTGGGATTAGAAGAAAAGAAATAGTTTTCACACTGTAAAGTGAGACCTGGTGAGTGAGATGGAGTAAGACTCTGGTGGGAGCAAGACTCTGGTGATGATGGTAATGAAGAGACTGTGGTATTGCTGTGGAGAGACTTTGACAAGGTATAATCTGAGGTTTCTTGTATTTGTGCTAACAACAGTTAAAGGTTTTGCTTGCCACCTGATTGAAGGAGAAGCTGACTTATAACTGCTCTGGGGCAAGCCTTGCTGATGATTGAAGAAGTCAGAGGTTTCTTGAATTTATGTTGCTGAACTGAAACCAGGACTTTTACTAATTAAGGAATTGTGTTTTGCTGTTAATCTGGCTTCGGACTTCTGAAGTAAAATGAATTTGCATTCTTTGCCTCTCTCACTCCCCAACCTATTTCCCTAATAAATCCCTCTCTTGATTGCAAAACTGTGAGTCAAGTCTGTGAGCCAACAACAAATATCAAACCCAATGACTGGTGGAAGTAGGTGCAGAAGATTGGGGCGTGGCTTGTCAGACCAAGCAGCTATTTCTT